GTGTCGGAGTGTCTCAGCTCGATTGGTAGCTAGCTGAGGTGCCTCTCTCCTCGTCATCGTCTCCATAACCTGCGCTATTCTGACACGTGGATTATAATAAAAGAAGACTACTGTCGGAGCAGGGCTGATTTAAAGACCGCCCCAGTCAATCAATCACAAAGTTCAGATTAAACGTACAAGTATTGTTCTCCTCTCTTTGTCTCACTTACTCTCATTCTATTTTGCCTTCTAGCACTTTTTAGGGGTTCAAGTGCGAAATGCTGAAACTTGATTCTATTTGTAAGGATTATTATTACTATGCCTTAAAGCTGACCATGCAGACCAAACCATAAGGCCTATAGCTCAATTTAGGGAGACCCTGGCAAAGACTCACCTCAATTTGCCAATAGGGGGCGCTACAGTGATCAAAAACACAAAATCACTTAACTCCTAGACCGTTTCTCGTAGACACAAGTGTCTTATACCAAACAAACAAAATGGCTATCTCCGATTTCGTTCCATCACGAAAATTTAGAATTTTTCCCAAAACGTACTTTTGCGAACAAGTCCAAACCAGTGCAGAAAAGTTCTCTAGATAGCAAAAGTTATCAAAACCAAGTTGAAGTTCCATTGTCGGTCGCAACAGGATGCAAAAATGTTCGAAGTGGGTGGGGCCACTTTTACTAAAATGGTGTTAACTCTTGAATGGAATTAGATATTTTCACCAAACACATTTGAATAAGTGTCATGTGTGTTCATATGGAAAATTAATATGAACACATATAAAACACATATGGAACACATATGAATGAGCTAAAAAAAACGTAATTGCTTTATATATATATATTTTTTTTTTTTTTTCATTTTAATCTAAGCAAAAATTAAGAAAGGCCTTTAAATTTCAATCGCTTCCACAAAACTCTGGCAAGTATTCATTGTGTTCTACTTTCCCTTTCAACCTCTCTGCAGGAGGCTGCATTCATGACAACTTTATATGCGATGTTCTCCTTTCAAAATGCCATCGATGGCTCAGATGAGCTGTGCACTGTGATCTTGCAACACAAAAACACCGGAGTCAGATTCTTCTTACTGACACACGCTCGCTGGAGTAGCCCGTCTGAGCGAACCAAAGGGCACCGTTCCTCGCTTTTAAAACACTGCTTTACATTTCCTCCCGCAGAAAACGAGCTAATTATAATGAGGGTGTTTTTAGATGATAAAACGATATTGAATCTGATTCCATTCCCTTCTTTTTTCCTCACCAACCTATTTTATGGCGAAGTTCAACAGTGTCACCGGGAAAGAGATAGCACTTAATCACCCAGACAAACATGCCATTACCCCACAAAACCTGTGAATGCAGAGTTGAATTAAATATGGTAAACTATCTCATTACACAAACACATGCATAAAATCTCCATCTCGGAGTGATCAAAGGTCAGGGAAGCGAATATCTAAAAATCCTTCTTTGAATTCATTTAGTATTAAAAGCTAGCGCTCTCCAGAGACTGCAGTCACCTGCTGCTAGCCGGACTCAGGTAATGACTATCATCTTAAAGGCCTGTCTGCCATCACGGCGTGCGTTGGAATATATCGGTGAGGTCCTTCTGAGCACTTCCAGGAGGAGATCACAAAGTCATTAACTATTTTCTGTCTTTCTCAGCAGTTAGTGTTGATGCAGCCTGCTTGCAATAATGTATTGTGTTGCAAACAAGAAGGATGGCCACTTCCCTGCCTCCTGGTGCAGAGGGGGCCCGCAGTGACACGGAGGCTCAGGTATATGGATGGCCTGAGGAGGTCTCCATCATTCATAAAACATGCTGCTGCCGTACGCCACCGAATTGATCTTGCAAAAGAAGCAGGGTGGCATGCCGACCACTTCATTAGTCTTCCACAACCACAAATCACAGTCATCGTATCCTCACAGGGACCCGCTGTTACCGCCGACATCACTGTAACGCACTTACACAGAGCGCTCCGACAGCGTTCCCAAAATGCTCCGACAATGTTGCCGGTGATTAGCGCGCATGCTACGTTGTTTATGGCAAAATGGCCATGGTCTGGCTAAAATATGTGTGAAACGAATGACAACAACAGCCAACCCCCAAAAAATAAGAAATGCACTCCATTTTTGAGCTCTGTAATTGATTGCTCGTGGTCATTTCGGGCGTCATGGGATGAAATCAAGTGGCTTCTCCATAAAACACTGTCAAATATTGATGATATTTCTCTTCCCTGGCCTCTGAATGAATTGCCCCACTCACTGAAGCTTTTTGATGAATGCTTTTTATTGCCTTTTCTGTTGTTGCTAGAGAAGCTGGAAAGAACTCGGCCTGGTCCTCTCAGAGTCAGCTAACCAAATTGCCGTTAGAGGACCACCACTTCGCGGTTCACAAATCAGAGATGTGCATTTTATTATGCTCCTTTTCTTTTGATAGTCTAATGACATTATTCACTTTGTAGCATTCAATGATTAATTATGTTATAAATGTTATAAAAAAATCCCATGATAAAGCATGATGAAGTTCAGGAAACACATAGAGGTTGTCCTAAACACATGCTACTTTTGTAGAATGAACAGATATGAATAAAAAAGTCAGAAGTAATTGTTGTTCAATGCTGTAACCTTGGGCAGCCTATAAGTATCGGTGGTCACTTATCCTACATTGGTTACAATTAATTCATTATTCATTCAACCCACCATATTCAATAAGCTGGGAAAATGCTCTTGCTGTGGCATTCCTTTACTGGCGATGAAACAGAAACACAGCGGCTTCACAAGTAAACGGAATGTTCATTATGACAGCCATTAGGTGGCAAATCTGGATGTTGTAGAAAGTGAAAAGGCAGCTTTCCCAACTAACATTTTTTGGGGGGTTTCCAGAATGTTCTGGAAATGTTAGTTAAAGGTTTAAAAAAGTGTTCCTAAAAAGAACATTCCTAGAATATTCCTGTAATTCCTGTATAAAAATAAAAATAACCAAATGATAACCATTCACTGACATTAAGAAAATGTTCTGTGTTTCCTGGGCTTATGCTTAATATTCACATATATTTGATTGCACTTGAGATTTAACTGCACAACAGATTTTATTCATCCCACTGAAACTGATCTTCTATGTTGCCACAGTATCTTAAAATGTAAAGAGCATGAAAAAAAAGAAGGTTGTAATGAAAAGATACAGATCGCGTTTGGAGAATGTCAAAGTGGCCTCATCGCTTGGCTTGTAAATGTGAAAAGAAAATGGAATGTCTTTCTCGCTCACTTTCTTTTGTCTCTCTGTTTCTCTGTGTCTCTCAGAAAACAAACTGTTCTTACATTGTGTTGTCTCTTTAAAGTTGCATGGTTACCCCTCAACCCCCCTCATTCCTGCACAGCCTATTCCCTCAACTGTCATGCTGCCAGGCCTAAAAGCCTGTCTTGTGAAATGTTCAACATCAGAAATGGTTTGTGTGCATGTCAGTTTGGCCTACCAAAACTCCTAACAGTTAAGCCAAAGGCACCATAGGCACGTTCTGTTGTGAAGCTTTGTTTTTGTTTTAAAAGTCTTCAGTTCAAGCTAACCCACGATCACTGTCCAAGGTTTATTTATGATCACACTGCTATATTAAGATCTTATTAGGTTAGAGATACACTTTTAGCACAGATATTGTGATCTAGCATATCTAGACGCCTCTGAAGCTCATCGTTGACATTACTTCCTGTTAGACCACTCAATCAAATAAGCATTTGGCTGAAAAAATAAAAATAAAAATTCAGTTTAGTCTCTTTACATTTCCATAAACATACATCCCTTGCTTTCTCTCCGCATGCCTCTCTCACAAAACTCCCCATTTGACTTGTGAAACATGATGAACACATTTGAAGATCAGCATGAATAATTCAGTCCACTCGGGCTGAAGCGGGTGAGCATGTAAGCATGTGAGTGGGGGCTGGAAAGCAAGACAGCAAACAAGTCCCTCCTGGTTAGGCTTTTTTGAAGGACGGCTCAAAGTGCGTAGCAGCAGCGTTACAATTGTTGGAGGTCCGAGGGGAATTGGGAGAATCTCTATTACCAGTCTGGAGCGATTTGTTTGGAATTATGCCATGCTACAAATATCTGGACCTTTGGGAACAGACAGCCTGATCCCATCTGATCCCACAGCAAAGCAATCTCTACAAGTTTACTTCTTATCTCTCCTCATGCCACAGACCCGTCTACCCTCGGGGGTATTTAAGATGAAACCATCTGTTGCGTTTTGCATACATATGTTTAGCATTAATATTGTCAACAAAATTACAGACAAACATGTTTGTTAGTTAAGTAGTTTTCCCCCCAACAATAACAAGATGAATGAGATGAGAAATTGGTAACACTTTTATTTTGATAGTCCATCTGTTGAGACTCTACTAGTTATCAGTACTCATTTAGTAGCATGTCAACAGTGAATCAGTTGACATTCAACAACATTGTTTCAACAGACAAGTAACATACGTTCAACTAACTGCCAGTAGATTTTAATGTGCATTTCAAATTCTAATCTATAGATTTTACAAAAAAGTTGCCAGTTGACTGTCTACATGTTTTTCGCAACAGATTATTAACCAATAGTCAGCTAACTTTTTGTAGATTGAGTTACCATCCTCTAAGTTGTCTACCAACAACTCAAAATCAATGTCAATTGAAAGTCGTCATGTCAACTTACGATCAAGACCATATTACATCATCCTTACTCAAGGGTCTCAAAAGGCTATCAGATCTGAACAGTCTGATTATGTCTGGCAAAAATGACATGAAAAAACAACAACAACAAAACAAACATGCTGGACTGCATGGCCAGCACTACAATTAATCAAAGTCTTTACTATGCAGTGTTATTAAAGGTATGTGTGGTTTAGAGGAAAACAAAATAGGCCAACAACACCAAGGAAAATAAAAAGTAAAATAAAATAAATAATAAAAAATATATAAATAATTAATTAATTAATTCTGCCTTTCATGACAGTGGGTATGCTAATCGAGTTAATGCATTATCAAGATTTACAGAAAGATCTTAAACTGTGATCTGTGGTTACCATTCCTTATGTCCTTGAGAAGTCTTCCAAGTACACCATGTTTATGTCTTCTGGCCAACCAGTAAGTCCACTCAATAAAGCAGAGTTGTTTTTTTAAGGCCTTCTCAGACCGATTCCCCCGCATACGCCAAATTTCCCTCTTGTACGTCTGCCACGCTCTCTCAATGTTTTGAGTATGTAGTCCTGTTTGTGGATCTACATAGTTCTGGCTGTGGTTAACTCTGACATGCTTGTAGCCCTCCTGGGAAAGGCTGGCATATGCTCTCCACTCATCACTCACAACTAGACTTTGTCTTTTGACATGTTTTTTGATTATTGGAACAAGGGTCTCCTTGTTCCTTTTCTTCACAAGGCGAAGAATTGGACGTCTACTTGCCATTTTGATTTCAAGTATACCGAACACCCACGTTCGCTTTCTCTTCCAGGTGTTACCGAAGCGTCCTCTTGCATACTACAAAACAGTATGAACAGTGTTAGAAAATAATCAAAATAATCTCTTGACCTTGTAAAAATGTATTACTAGGCAGGTGTAATTATATGATAATACTTTTTTTTCATCCAAAACTTTTAAATTCCTTTTTAAGCAACTTTTTAAATTCTGTATAATACAATAAATATGCATACAAAATAAGAAAAAAGTAAACAAAAATTATATATAATCAATCAGTATAAACTGATTGACAGCTTTGGGGAAAGTGATGTCCACCCCCACTACTTATAAATATCGTAAACTACGATGCACATATTGATATCAGCTCTTTCAGGTTCTACAAAATTTAACACATTTCGTTAAGTGCATTGCACATTTAGATTACGTTACCTTGCGTTTATGGCAGAACTTGCTCTCATCAATGTGAACAATGACATTAACTCCACCAACTTTCTGCCTCTTTTTCTTTTGGTGCTTTTCCAGGCTTTTTACACAAATTCTTCGGAGTTTCGTTGACATCATAGAAAGTGTTGCTGTGCTCTTTGCAATGCCATCTTGAAGCATGTCTACTTGCCGTAGATGTAAACCCTGTGCAAATCTACAAAGGATTAACAAAATTGACTACCATTAAATAAGAACAGTACATTTTCACATAAAGAAAATCTATGATTTCTGAAATGGTAGGCTGCAAAGCATAATTTGTTGATTGTATTTTGGACACTAGTTTTTTTTACTATTGACATGTTTCTGCTTAAATTCTAAACATAACAAAACATAAGCATAAAAACACATTCTGTCCACCAGCCATAGCTGACCAACCATAGCTGACTAAACAGTACAGTACAGTAACTAAAAGTGATGCTCATCGCAACACAGTGCCACATCAACAGTCACCAACATAATCTTCTGTTAGAAATGTACATTACATAGTTAAAATTATGGTCAAAATAAAGGCAGCTTGATCCAAAAAAAAAAAAAAGCTTGTTTTTTTTAATAACTTTTTGGTTATTATAACATGTATGGCAAACTACGGTGACATATTACAGGACATTCTTTTGTAATATATGCTAGGATAGACGGACCATAATATCTTTTTAAATCCATGCCAACATAAACTATTATAGCGTATGCTGTAGTGCAATTGTGTTCTATACAACTCAAAAGCACTATAAAAATAGTGTAATATGCCAAATATTGTTCTTATGAAATGCACTTGCATTGCTTACCTGTGTATGTACTTCATCCATGTGAATAGACTGCAGTGTGATTGTGAAAAGAGTGACTTTGACCTGACACTTCTTTTCAACCGCCCACATCTTTTACGTCTACACTCCCTGGGAAGTTTTAGGACATCAAATTGAATGATATACAGAAATGTGTAACATTTGTCTTTCAGCACACACACACAGTAAGTTGGATATATAATTTATATATGTATATATATACATATATATATATA